AGAATTCCCCAGCCAGCCATGCTGACTGGGGAATTCTGGGAGTTGAAGTCCACACATCTTAGAATTGCTAAGGTTGAGAAACGCTGTTCTAGAGGGCCACAGTCTTTATAACATACAGTTAATCTAAAACTCTTTTTCTCTAGATGTCTTGGGAGTTCACCTCTCAAAGTCCCCAGGCAGAATATCTGGAGAGCTTCAGATTAAAGAAGATGACCTGGAAATTCAGCACTAAGTTGTTTAAACTAGTGGGATAGAAACTAGGCTGGGGAAGAAAAGCTAATTCACATTAATTATAGTGATCAAAAGCTGCATTGCCAGGAATTCAAACTCGTGATAGTCATGAGAGTTAGCTAATCCTGAGGAAAAATGAGAAAAAACTTTCAGAGCTTGGCAGAACCTGGATGTGTAGCAATTGGTAAGTCTCAGAATTTTTTTCACTAAGTTTTATGTTAAATTTCAGCTCTATAAATTTCCTTATTTCTGAAAAATAAATTTGATAAAGAATTGCATTTCTTAAACTGCAGTGCCTTTAAGTCAGAGGGCTTTTTTAAAATTGAAATTGTTGGAGTTGTTATTTTACTTCAGTGCATAATTTACTACTTTGCTACTGTATTAAATGACACAATGATTTTATTCTTAGTTTTTAGGTTATTCTGAATTCAGGTTTTAGTTTTTTTTTTTCATTTATTATTAATGACATGCTAGAACACTACGTACCCATAAATAAACAGTCATCAAAATTGATGTATTTTCATGGTGCTTTTTTTTTGTTTCTGTTTTTTTTATTGTTGATCTTTGACTGAAGTAAAGATAAATGAATGAATGCTGTTTTGCATTCTGATCCTGCAGAATGTTAGCCTGTTTAATTCTTACTGCCTTTAATTGGATTTACACAGCATAACTGTGGCTAACTTTTAACCCAAAGTGTTTGTATATTTTTCTAAGGCTGAACTTATACAAATTAGATTAAACCATTCAGCTTGATTTAATATGGATGGTTAAATTTTGGAGGGTATTTATACAAATGACAGCAAAACAAATCCATTAGAAAGTTTGGATAATGATGACATTAGAGAAAACATATCCTAACAAAGCTCATTGCTACTCCTTGATTACAGGCTATTTATAACATGAAATGAGTATATTTCTGTTCAAGCAATGGTATTTTTTTCTGTTCTCCTTTCGCCACATTTCCTCCTTTACCTCCAGATCTGCTCAAGCAACTTTCTGTATCAGATTTGGAGAGTAGACAAAACATGCAAGGAGAGAGGAATTGGTTCTGTTGGGAGATCCAGTTCTGGGACAGTGGCTTGTAGCATGGACGCTTAATCTTGTCTATGTGTATTTTTTTTTCCCTATACAGACAGACTTGTTCCACCCCCACATTAAATGAATTGCGTGATCTGGTTGTAAAAACATCAGAGTCTGGTTTATCAGAAGCTTTATCCACAAAATATAAATCCAGGATCTGAAATCCTTTTGCCTGTTACAACTTGGACCATACTTCTTCAGTTTATAAATAAAATGTTTTTTTTTTAAATTCAGATACTGTTGAAAATTGTATAGCCTCTTCTTGACAGCAAAATTTAATTGCCAGATATAACCTATAATCCTGTATTTGTCTTTCTGATACTGATTAGAAAGCATTTGTCCATCAAGCTTGAATTGATTGGCTGCTGCTCTCCAGTTTTCTCTGTAAGTATAGCTAGGCCTTTCATATTCTTCTGTGAGTTGTTCCATTTTAACTGAATTGTTGCATTCATTGCACAGATCATATGTTCTACGTGTTACCTCTCTGAAATATATAAACTGATGGAACCTTTTGTTTGCATGATCAGGCTAATTTTCTGTTTTTCTGAAGAAAGAGAACAAAGGACCAAATTAATACTGTAGAAGAAGAGGAACAGATCTTTGCTGCTGACACATTTTTCACAAGCAAAATTTTAAAATACCTGAAGCTAAAAAGCAAAACATATTCTAATAAATCCTAATACATTTAGCCTCTAAATTGTTTTTAATGGTTGACACAATCATTTACTTAAGACAGGGTTTCTTAAAGTGTGGTCCTAGGACCCCTGGGGGTCCCACAAGAGCATTTCAGGGGTCCATGAAATCAAAATTATTTGCCAAATATTGAAGATATGTGCAAAAATTTTAAACAATGACACTCTACTCATTATTATTATTTTTTTTTAAAAAGGGTTTTTTCATAAAAAAATATTTTATATGTTAATATCTAATGGGTTTAATATTGTTATTTTTACTATGCAATAAATAAATATCTACAAATGCGTCAATTTTAATTTTTAATATGGTAAATAGAGATTAATACAACCAATACAAACAAAAGCTTTTTCGGGGCCCTCCATAATTTTTAAAAGTGGGAAGGAGTCCTGAGAGCAAAAAGTTTAAAAAACACTGACTTCAGATATTGGCAGATGAATTCATACCACGCGAACGTTTGCTTGCTTTTGGTTAGTGATTTATATATGAATCCAACCACTGTAATTTTAAACCATGGTTTATGGGCTTGGCACTGAGGGTAAATCAAGCCAGAGCTTGGTTTACATTGTCATCCTTTATTTGAAATATTTATAATTTTCCTTATTTCAAACCTTTTGTAAAATATTTCAGATATTTGTTTCCTTTCTTATTTGTTTCACAGTATTTATAGGCGACCCCAATCCAGGCAGTTGTTCCGTCTACTCTTTCTATCATCTGAGATCATTTTCAAGCACAAAATTCAAGAAATGTTTAAATAAATGTTTTAGGAAAAGATAGTTTTCCCCGGTTCACACCATAGTAATATAGCTATAGCTGATTTGGGTTATGGTGGGTCATAAATGAAATGAAATGAAATGAA